TTTAGATTATACCTGACTAGCCCAGTGGTTTTTCCTACTCTCTTCAGTTTAAGCTTGAATTTTGCTATGGGAAGCTGATGATCAGAGCCACAATCAGCTCCAGGTCTTGTTTTTGCTGTGTGTATAGAGCTTTTCCATCTTTGGCTGCAGAGAATATAATCAATCTGATTTCGGTATTGCCCATCTGGTAATTTCCATGTATAGAGTTGCCTCTTGTGTTCTTGGAAAAGAGTGTTTGTGATGACCAGCTTGTTCTCTTGACAAAACTCTATTAGCCTTTGCCCTGCTTTGGCCATCTCATGAGAGGGGAAGACTCCTTGGAAAAGACCTTGATGTTGGGAAAGTGTGAAGGCAAGAGGAGAAGGGGACGACAGAGGATGAGATTGGACAGTGTCATCGAAGCGACCAACATGAACTTGACACAACTCCAGGAGGCAGTGAAAGATAGGAGGGCCTGGCGTGCTCTTGTCCATGGGGTCACGAAGAGTCGGACATGACTAAACGACGACGATGGGTTTCTTGGAAACATCTCATTGGCTATTGCTGGAACTAAAAAGTTAGACTGACCCTTTGTCAGATCCAGGGGGCTTTTCTTTTAATCTTCATTTTTATCTGCATAAGAGAAAACATGATTTTTTAGTTGTTTTAGGATTGCACAGAAATGCCTATCCTTGTTTTTCATTTTGTATTAATGATATCATGTGCCCTGTATATTTCATTATACATTTGTCTGTCCATTTCCCCCCATGTAGGCAAGCGATTCACTGAAGTCTGGGTCTATTACTTTAGATGATTTTAGAGGGATTTACCGGGCTATAGCACACAGATGTGAAATTCATGAAATCTTCAAAACTCATTCTCCAAACCACAAAATCCTACAACTACCAAATCTAGTTGAATTTCTTAGACGTGAACAATTTCAACCTGAAACTGATGAAACAACTGCTTCTCAACTGATTGCAAAATTTGAACCTATTGAAGAAGGTATGCTGATGATTTAAATTTTCTTAAACAATTTTATTTTATGGTATTAATTGTTTTTGGAAACTAATTTTTATCATTGAAGATGTGTATTTTGCAGTGATATACAGTGGTGCCCTGCTAGACCCTTACCCTGGTAGATGACAAAATTGCTTCACGATGAGTATTTTCCAATTTTATTGCGATTGCAAAACGGTGTTTAGATGGGGAAAAACTGCTTGACGACAATCGGTTCCCTGCTTCAGGAACTGATTTTCCCTTTACGACGATCAAAACAGCTGATCGTCGGGTTTCAAAATGGCCACCCGCTGTTTCAAAATGGCTCCTGGCTGTGGTTCCTCGCTTTACAGGCACCAGAAAATGGCCGCCCTATGGAGGATCTTCGCTTTACAATGAGGAATTTCGCCCATTGGAATGCATTGAGCGGTTTTCAGTGCATTTCAATGGGCTTTTTACTTTCGCTTGATGACGATTTCATTCTACAGCGATTTTGCTGGAACGGATTAGCGTCGTCAAGCGGGGCACTGTACTACATATATATATTTGGACATAAATCTAAGTTTATTGAGAACATCAGCATGCATAGAAATTTCAATTTTAAATAACTTGTGATCAGACCTAAGGCAAAATTGATATGTTTACTTTGTTTAATCTTGTAAGGGTGATGGCCAGTATCATATTGAGATTCTGCTGAGCAGAAAGTCCTACCAACATAGCAACACAAGGTCATGCTGTTTGCTCAGGTATTGCCACTGTGCATGCAGGGGGTTAGGTTTACTTTATAATGATCACCACTTGTACTATACCTGTTCTTGCCCAAGTGACATGATCCTACAGTACTGTACCAGAGGGACTTTCCTCATAGCAGAAACATGGCCAATACAGTCTAGGTTGCAGTACACTTCAGACTTACCCAAGAGTGAGTTAGAGTTTGTGCTATGTGAGAATAACATCGTACAGATACATGTTTAACACATGCTATCTTGAGTTGTATTTACTACGTGCTGTTTTAGCATTCAGAGACATTTTAACGTATAGCTCATAAAACTTTCCCAAGAGCAATACTGAACTTCCCAAAATATGTGGACAACTTATGGTTGTTCCTGTTCACTGGAAATGTTCATTGTATATAGTTCTGGCCATTCTCCATTGGCTGTGCTAGATAAGACTGATGGGAGTTGTTATCTAACAACATATACAGTGGTGCCTCCACTTACGAATGGCCCTACTTGTGACCCTTTTGAGTTACAACCAGCTCTGGCCGCAAAATTTTGCTTCTACTTATCACCGGAGCTTCCACTTACGAACAGAAAAAGGCAGGGGGAAAAGGTGGGAAATTCAAATTTCTAACTGTAGGTAACGACGAGGCTGCATCTTTGTAGCTCTTTCATCCCAGCAGTTAGAGATCGTTGGAGGCTTCGGAGGCTTGGGACTGCCTCCTTCTGCTTCTGAGAGAGTGTGTGTGTTTGCAGGGAGACTTCAGGCTGCCTTGTAAGGTAAGGTGCTGTTTTCTGCTTTTTAAAAACTGTTCTGGGTGTTTTTGCGGCATGGTTTTGAGCTGAGGGGGTTATGTTTCTGTGCTGTGATGGGTTTTGGGGGGTTTGTTTGTTTTTTGGTTTCTCCTCCCATTTCCAATGGGTCTTGGGGCGCTTGGTTACTTTTTGGATTCTCCCCCCCCCATTTCTGATGGGTCTTGGAGGGTTTGGTTACTTTTTGGATTCTCCCCCCCCATTTCTGATGGGTCTTGGAGGGTTTGTTTGCTTTTTGGACTTTCCGCTCATTTCCAGTGGGTCTTGGGGGGGTTCCTTGCTTTTTAGTCCCTCCATTGCATGATCTGCTTGATTGCTTTTTGCTTTCTCTTGTTTGCATTTGCAATGGGTCTTGCATGGTTTATTGGTTTTTGGTTTGTTTTCTTTGCATTAGGTCTTCCACACTTGATTGCTTTTTGCCTTCTCTTGTTTGCATTTGCAATGGGTCTTGCAACAGTTGATTGCTTTTCTCTCCCCCTCCCCCTTTCAGCTGGAAGGGATTAATCAAGTTTCTGACCGGTCTTGCAGTGATTTGTGTGTGTGTGTGTGTGTGTGTGTGCGTGTGCGCGCGCGCTTCAACTTACAACCATTTTGACTTATGCCCATCTTCCTGAAAGAATTAAGTTTGTAAATCGAGGTACCCACTGTACAGATAATCCACTCAGGAGCTTTGTGGCACAGTAGTTGTACTGCAGCCAAAACTCTGATCATGACCTTGGTTCAATCCCAAGTACCAAAAAATGTTATACTCAGCCTTCCATCCTTATAAGGTTGCTAAATTGAATAATAATAAAACAAGCTCACTTTGGGGACAATGTGTAGCTTGCATAATTCAACTGTAAATTGCCCAGAGAGTGCTTTAAGCACTATAGGACAGTATATAGGCAGCACATCTCTTTCTTTGCTTTATCAGTAACCTGTTTCCCCGAAAATAAGATCCTGAAAATAAGCCCTAGTATGATTTTTCAGAATGCTCTAATACAAGCCCTTAAGCTGCAACTCATCCAAAAATAAGCCCTAGTTAAGTGAAACCCTGTCCTCCACCATTGTGCAGCAACCAGAAGATGACATGACTGTATTTGAATAAATACAGTATAGATGGTTGTACATGAAAAAAAAATTAAAACAACCCCTGAAATTAAGCCCTAATGCTTTTTTTTGAGCAAAAATTAATACAAGACCCGGTCTTATTTTCGGAGAAACATGGTACTAGAAACAGACCAACAAATGCAAAGTCAACATGTGAGAAGTTGACAACTATACCTAAAACAAGTAAGAATCATCTGCAATACCTTTTCTAGTTAGAGAAACCACTAATCAGAATAAAACAAATAAAAATAAATTGGTATTATAGATACTGAATTATTGTAATCAGTTACTGTTGAGCTACAGTATCTTTGTAGAAGCATCATGAATGAGATGCAGACATTAAAACAAAAAATTAACAGAAAATACTGATAATAACCTAAAACAGATCAGCCCTATGCAGGTCACTATGCATGCACTTCTAAGAAAGCTGCACACACTTGTAAGGACAGATATTTTGAACTTGTTTCAACCTATGATTTATTTATGCCTTCAAGATATAAATAAGCTGAAGCAAATGAGTTCTGGAAAAAGGCATCTTGAAATAATTTGCATTCTCCACCCATTATTTGTATTTTCAGTTTAGAGTACTGTAATAACAAATAAAATATAGTGTTAGATTAGATTAATTTAATGTAGCTTTTTAGCTTGTGTAGCATCAGATGTTTTGAGTAACTAACAGCATTTTAAAAACCTGCGAAATTAAGTAAAATTAAAATATTATAAATGTGATAGTGCTAGATGTTAAAAGTTAGCTTCTACCAGCATTATTATATCATCCTAGTCTTTAAAAAGTAACAATTTCCAGGAGTATTGTAAGGCCTTATGTGTACTATGTCACATATCCAGCTAAAGTCAATAGAAAGACATGTATGGAGTGTGTGCATAAAATATGTATAAATGAGATGCATCTATTTATAAATGTATGAGCATACCTTGTAACAATGCATTAGGTAAAATAAAAGGATCCATATCCATGTTCCATTCATATCTGAGACCTTGTGTATCATATTTATTAACTGACAGTAAATAGATATAAAGAAATAATTTGGTTTCCTTTCTTTGGTTGATACAATAAGCATTTTCAAAAGTGCAGGAGACTCTGGAGCACTCAATGCAGCTGGATCATTTTTCTGGTTGTTGTTTAGTCGTGTCCAACTCTTCGTGACCCCATGGACCAGAGCACGCCAGGCCCTCCTGTCTTCCACTGCCTCCCAGAGTTGGGTCAAATTCATGTTGGTAGCTTCGATGAAACTGTCCAACCATCTCATCCTCTGTCATCCCCTTCTCCTCTTGCTTTCGCACTTCCCTAACATCAGGGTCTTTTCCAGGGAGTCTTCTCTTCTCATGAGATGGTCAAAGTATTGGAGCCTCAGCTTCAGGATCTGTCTTTCCAGTGAGCACTCAGGCTTGATTTCCTTTAGAATCAATAGGTTTGTTCTCCTTGCAGTCCAGGGGACTTCTCAAGAGCCTCTTCCAGCACCACAATTCAAAGGCATCAGTACTTCAGTGGTCAGCTTTCTTTATGGTCCAGCTCTCACTTCCATACATCACTAAAGGAAAAACCATAGTTTCGACTATGTGGACTTTTGTTCGCAAGGTGATGTCTCTGCTTTTTGAGATGCTGTCGAGGTTTGTCATCGCTTTCCTCCCAAGAAGCAGGCGTCTTTTAATTTCGTTGCTGCTGTCACCATCTGCAGTGATCATGGAGCCCAAGAAAGTAAAATCTGCCTCCATATCTTCCCCTTCTATTTGCCAGGAGGTGATGGGACTGGTGGTCATGATCTTAATTTTTTTCCTGTTAAGCTTCAGACCATTTTGCACTCTCCTCTTTCACCCTCACTAAGAGGTTCTTTAATTTCTTCTCACTTTCTGCCATCAGAGTGGTATCATTTGCATATCGGAGGTGTTGATATTTCTTCAAGCCAGAATTAAGATTGCCAGAAGAAATATCAACAACCTCTGATATGCAGATGATACCACTCTGATATCATATCTGCAGAGTGATATCATCTTTAGATATCACTAGATGCTGTAATAGTAAATATAGCTGTTTAACTGAAGCTGGCAGATCATGCCTACTTATCACATCCTCCATAAAAAGGTTTTCTTCCCAATTTTAAGGCCGGCTCACCCCATAAAATTAATTTAGCATGTGAAAGTGGGTCGAATTGGAATTATCTTGACAATATGTGCCATATTTTTCTTACTGCAGAGATTATTGTCCGTTTGGAGAGAGGCTCCAAGAGTCCAAGATGGATAACATCACTGTGGAACATAGTTCCAATAATTAATACCATTTAGCAGATATGCCTGAGGATGTAAACTAATATTAGGAAAACCAAATCTACCTTCAGTAAAAGAAAATTGAATTCCTTTCATAGAAATTCAAGATGGCACAGAACCTTACATACATTTCTGAAACAGTATTTTAATTTTGTCTGCTGGGTATATGAAAGGCAGTACTCACTAGTATACCTGAGAGATCCATAGATCTTAAGCTGCAACTCATCCAATAAAA